TATATATATATATATATATATATATATATATATATATGTAATTTTTCTTTATTGTTTGGGCTTTATAAAAAATTTTCTGTTTTTCTACTCCATTATATTATCCAATAGTTTTTTAAGTATATTTTTCACATGTAGGTCTGTAATCCATCTGGTGTATGTGTGGAATGTAGGGTGTGAGGTAGGGATCTAATTGCATCTCTACCATCCTTCCCCCCAACGCCCATTCCTGACTCCACACGATTTTTCTGGGATTGTTTAATGATCCCTTGTGAGCCAGGAGGTGACAAAGTGGTATAGTTTCAATTAATTCACACTGGGGTGCATGGGGTGTAAGCATGGACCTACAGGGAGCAGTCCTGACATGTCACTTAAGTAATAGGCACAGGTCTGTCCGTCTGGCTGGCACAGACCCTCTCCCACACGTACTTAGTGTAGACGTTATGGGCCAAAATGTGTCCCCCCGAAATTCATATGCTGAAACCTTAACCCTCAGTACCCCTGACTGTAACTGGAGATGCGACCTTTAAAAAGGCAATTCAGCTAAAATTATGTTTGAGCCCTAACTGGTTTGGCTCAGTGGCTAGAGCATCGGCCTGCAGACTGAAGGGTCCCAGGTTCGATTCCGGTCAAGGGCATGTACCTTGGTTGCGGGCACATCCCCAGTAGGAGGTGTGTAGGAGGCAGCTGATAGATGTTTTTAACTCTCTATCCCTCTCCCTTCCGCTCTGTAAAAAAAAATGAATAAAATATATTTAAAATTATGTTTGAGGTCATTTTAGGCTGGGTCCTACTTCAGTCTGGCTGGTGTCCTTATAAAAAGGAATTTTGGAGGCAAGGAGACCCCTGCCAGCAGGTGGGCAGGCTGGCGTGAGGGCACAGCGAGAAAGCAGCCACGTGCCGGCCCAGGACAGAGGCCTCGGGAGAAAGCAGACCTGCCCACCGACACAAAGGGTGTAGCAGCTGCTTATTGCTGCGGAGACAAAGGAACACAAACTCCGCTGCTGAGAACACATGTGTTACCGTACAGTCCTGGGGTCTGTGCTGGCAAGGCTGCGCTTCTCCTTGGGGCCCAGAAGAGCGCCCATGCTCCGGCCTGCCCTCGCCTGGCGCCCACCTGGGTGGCAGCCCTCCTCCTCCTCCCACCCGCTGCTCTCCTGTCCCAGCTCCCCTCACACTCGGACCCGCCGCCTCCTTCTTCCAAGGGCCTTTGTAATGGCATTTGGGTCCCTGAGCGACTCAGGGTCACCTCCCCACCTCAGAGCCCCTCCCTCAACCACATCTCACAGCCCTTTTCGCCACAGAAGGTGGCACAGTCCCAGGCCCCGCAGGGGAGGGGGGGGAGAGGTGGACATCAGCAGGAGCCTTTGTTCCGACCACACAAAGCAGTTCAGTACAACCTCTTAGAAGAAAACAGTTC